TCGATTAAAATTCCAAACGCTCTACGAGCAATTTCCAAAAAAAAGTGAAAATCAGTGTAGGCTAATCGAAAGTTCATTTACGGTTAGTGTGTGATATAATGGAGCACTATCTATTGATATGGATTCGATTCAATTCGATTCGATTCACCTGGTCATCAGATTTAGTGCAGGTGAAATTTATGCGTGTGAATGCTGAATTTTAACGAAATTCAAATAGGAGCATTGAAATGCCATCAAAACAATTGACCGTCGTGCCATGCTAATTTGTAATTAGTAATTTGTAATTGTTTGCTTGCTTTAATTACAATTATGCTTTCACCCGGTAAATGATTAGAGCGGATTCAATGACACCATCTTTTGGGTTGGATTACGGATTATGTAAGCGGGCACTTTTGATTTGTATCTAAATTGCAGCCAAATCATAAACCTTCGGCCCATCTCCGGTAGCTGAAAGTGAAAAGAGCCCGGCGATAAAAAGCAAAAAACATGCGGAACATGCAGGCCATTGAAAGCAAAAGTTTTGTGCGTGCGAAAACGTGTGGCGCATGCGTAGGTGGATTTTAGCGCATTGGAACAGTGGTAACCAACTAATAGACAAATTTGACAGAATCTTAAAAAAATAGCACTTGCTTAGCAGTAATAAATCAACAAAATGCAGGGCTTTCAGCTAGTGCTTCTGTATTCAAATGAATTATGGTAGATAATGGGATAAAATAAAGTAAACTTTGAACAATATATTGTAATTATAATCAATTTGAAACAGACCTATTTTGACCAGCATAATACTATACAAAATATTGTTTCACTTATATGTGTAGAAAAAAACGTAATAATTAATGGCCAAACCTATAAAAAAAGGTTCGTTTAAAGATTTGTATGTTTTTATTTTGTTTTTAGTATTAGGAAATCAGAGCATAAAACTAAAATGATTTGATAAATTGTATTTTTTAAGCTACTTAACAATAAGGAGAAGAATTCAAATAACTCTTAAGGGAACTGTAAAAATCGGTTTTTATTTTGGTTTGTAGTATTGGGAACCACAGTGCGTGGTCAGAGGGCTTAGCATAATGAGGCGACGCCTTTTTGTGGGTGGATTGGGAGGAGCTGGGGGTGGTGGGTTGGTGGGTTGGTGGACAGTAGGTGGTGGGTGAGCGGTTCGAGGGGCCATTGATTGCGGCAAGTGAAATGGCAGCGTAAAAGTCATAAACTGCCCAATCGCCGTGTGCCATGCCGATGAGCCCCCAATCTGCGGTGCATTTGCCTTCCGATTGGTATGCACAGTGGGTACTTTTCAGCGACGATGATGGCCACTGTGCCGCGATGTCCGCTTTATAAATACAACAGCGACCAAGGAAGTTCATTTCATTTTCTTGACGGCGATCGCAGCAAACGGATTAAAAACGCGAAATAAATAGTGCACCCTCCGCGTTCGATAAAAAAAAAAAAATAATACAACAAATTTAATCCACCTAAACAAGATGAATCTGACCAGTTCGATGAGGAGCCTGGTGTTTCTGGCCGTTATCATTTTGGTTTTCCACACAGCTGAGGCTGGCTTACGTTTGCGCCACGGCCCACGATCGGCCACGCCCCCAGCGCCTAGCACTACGCCCACCACAACGGTGAGCACGGAGGAGGAGGCGCCGCCGCCACAGGAAGTTACCGAACCGGAAACGGAAGTCACCACCGGAAAGCATAAGAGGGGCATCTTGCATGGCCATGCCCACGCCCACGGCTCACCATGGCCCGCCCCCGCCCGTACATATGCCGCCCACTACGGCTATAGCCTGCAATTGCCCGGAGGCAGCGCCTTCCTCTCCGCCGCCCCCCCACATCCGCACCGCCACTTTGTGAAGTACGGACATGGTTTGGTCAAGCCGCTGCTTGCTGTTTCCGCTTCCGGTTTGGCACCAGCTTCGGCTCCCCTGCTGCCCGCCGTGGGATTGCCCACCGGTCTGCCCACCGGACTGCCCACCGGATTGCCCGTTGGATTGCCATTGCCCACTGGCCTGCCCGCCGGAGTGGCCAGCGCCATTCCCGCCGGAGTGGCCACGGCTTTGACCACCGGAGTGGCCCCTGCCACTGCCCTAGCTCCGCCCTCCTACATCCTGCGACCCGGCAACGCCCTCGTCTCCTCGTACAGCGTCAACTATCCGCACCAGCACCTGCTGCCCCAGAAGCCCGTCGTCTTCCAGTCCGCCGTGAAGCCCCTGCACTTCCATGCTCCGACCCACGCCCACGCCCACGCCCATGTGCACGCCGTTCAGGTGAGTTCCCGTTGATAGATTCTTAAAGAAATTAGTTAAACTTTGGTCATTGGACTTAAGACATAAATATTATTCTACAATAAAATAAAGAAAATAAAATCAGATCATATTATTCTAGATCATAACATAAATATCATAAATTATTTCTGGAGAACCACAGTTTAAAGGAAATCCATTTTTGTATTAAATTAGCAGTATTTTTTTCAAACAATTAAAAAGTACTTTTGCAAAGGATTACAAAACTTAGTTTGAAAACAAGCAATTCTTATATACTCATTACAAGGGTTCTGGAAATAAAACTTCATAATTTTAAATTTCTAAAAGTTTTTTTTTAAGAATGATGTAAAATTTGAAGAAATATTATATGTCTACAAATTTTAGTTATAAAATTTGTTTATATTTTGAACGATGTTTTTGAGTAACTCATTTATGCTCGCTTCCTTTTTTGCAGCCCACCTATGTGCAGGCCTATGCTCCCACTGCTCCCGCCGTGCCTGTTCAGCCTATTCAGCCTGTCCAGCCTGTCCAACCTATCCAACCTATCCACCCAGTTCAACATCTTCAACCAATCCAGCCCATTCAACCTGTGACCCATCAGTTCCAGCCCGTTCAACCGGTTCAACCCCTGCAGCCAGTTACCCCAATCCAAGCCGTTCAGCCAGTTCAGCCCGCTGTGACCTTCGAGGTTCCGGCTCCCACGGCTGTGGATCTACCCGTGATCCCCCAGTTCCCACAGGCACCACCTCAGTTTCCTCAGTTCCCCGGAGTCCCCACTTTCAGTTTCCAACCAGCCCAACCAGCTGTGCCCGCCCAGCCGGCGACTCCCGCTGCTCCCGAAGCGCCGGAAGTGCCCCAGATTCCAGCCATTCCGCAGATTCCCCAGATTCCACAGATACCTCAGATTCCAGCCGTACCTCAAATTCCCCAATTTCCGGGAATCCCACAGTTCCCCGGATTCCCCCAGATTCCCCAGTTCCCGCAGGCGCCCTCCTCAGTGCCAGCGGTTCCGACCTTCCCCAGTCCACCCAGTCCACCCACCAGTCAATTCTTTCCCAATGCCCCCCAGCCACCACTGCCCCAGCAGCCACCCACTTTCGGGCAGCCGGAGACGCAGTTCCCCGGCGGCATCGTACCACTGCCGGGATCCGCGCCCGTGCAGCCGGAATCGGGAACGGGCATAGCCTCGCCGCAGATTCCCCAAGCGACGCAGGCTCCGGAGAATCCGGCGGCGGAGGTGCCGCCACAGCGACCCCCAACTCAACAACCCTGGAAGCCGGTCTTCTACCAACCACCCACCGAATCCGCACCAGCGTCGCCCAATCGTCCTTCGGTCACTCTGCTGCCACCCTACGGAAGCTCACCAGCTGAAGGTAAGTGCCAGTCACATGTTGACGACTGAATTGCCTGTCAAACAATAAATCTTCAAGATACATTTGTGCATTAGGGTGGCCCAAATTTGTATAAATGTTTTGTATATAAAGGGCACGCCAGAAGTAGTTTTTGGAAAAAAAAGCGTTTTAGGGTCTGCTCAATAGATTTAAAGTATATTACTCATACGTAATGTTGGCTTTGACACAACAATTTATACCCACTGACATTACGTTTTAAAAAAGTTTTAAGTGTTTAAATGTTTTGGTTTCAGAATACATACATTGCACACCAAAATGTAACACATTAAAATGAGAGATTTTGAAAGGTGTCTTAAAGTACGCTATAAAATATAACATATAGGCTTCTGATTTTATCAACCATCGGATTTTCTTTTTTATTCGCAAGTAGTTGGAATTGCTCTTCTGATAGCGTCCAAATTTGTATCTTTATAAAATAATATATTATGCTTTGTCTTTTTGTAGGCTATCTCCCACCAGTGGGCTCGCAAGCATCGTCCCTGAGCTCCAGTAGTGCCGGAATCGGAAGCCAGGGCGGCATCTTCGACCAGCTGAGCGATGCGGAACTGGAGCACATCTTCGCTCAGGCCAATTTGGCGCAGCAGCAACACCAGCAACAGCAACAGCAGGGCCACAACTACCACCACTACTGAGCTCAACACCTACTTAGAACTTATTTAAATTATTTTTTGTTTTTTTTTTACGTCATTGTGCTTTCATGTATCTTGTATTGTAAATTATGTTATTATTAAATAAGTTATTTATCAAAGACGCCCAAAGTGGTTTTTCGTGATACCTGCTGAAACTTTTGAACTATTGAAAAATACACGAATTTTTTAATGGTTTTTTAATGCTAACGTGTGCAAAAGAGGAGTCGTAAAAGAAAATTGGATTATATTTTACAGCTGACGAGCTTAGTTGTCGATCCCACTACTTTCTGGCTAATTTTGAAAACTGAATAGATTTTTGGGCTAATTCTCAAATTTATATACTTTTCTTTTCGAAAATTTTAATAAAATTAAAGTTTTTAGGTTAGTTTAATTTTAAGTTAGTTTCTCATTCATTCATTTTTAGCCCATTCCTGAGCTTTTCCAGGCGCGCTTTCCCGCCGAGTGCTTTTCACCTTGAACTTGGGGGAGCTCATCTGAGCTTTTGTGCTTTTCATTCATAAATTGCCAGCCGGTATGTTGAATGAGTGCGGTGGTTGGAAAGGGGAAGGGGAAGGGGGAGTGGGTGGCAGGGAGACGGAGGCGCCAGTAGGCGGGGCACCTGGGAAAGCCGCATGCCACATGTTGCAGGCGCTCGGCTTTTTTCAGCTCAGTTGTTTGTTATCGTTGGCAGCGAACGCGCGGTGCTGCGGACCAAAAATCGTTTCGGTTCGGCCATGTCCAGTGGATCTATATAAATACATCTATATCTTCGGATCGGATCCCCGGAACGATCTCACATCGAAGTGCGGCGAAGTTCTATTTTTTTTCCTGTGCTATAATTAAATATTGTTTATTGCCCGATTAAAACGGTGGCAGAGAGGAGAACTCCCTGGATGTCAATAGTGATCATGCGTACGTCCCGGAAAAATAAACAATTTCCTTTTGTTTTCTCTGCCCCTCCGTATATTTATCGATGCAGTTACAAATGCCAGATATCCAATGAGTATATGTTTTTATCTACTTTATCCGCAATGTTTGTGTGGCAGTTTAACGCGAATCGAAATAACAAACCCGGCCAAGATATTGGCCATCTGTAGAAATGCGAGTGTCGGGGATTTTTAGATCATGCGGTGGGATAAATAGGGAATTCCAAGAGCAAAATTAAGATTTGTTAATAAAATGTGTGATTCAAGAAATTTATACTAGATAACGATTTTATATATATTTATGGGAATTTGTCCTTTACCAATATGTTTGAATAACAAAGGCAAAACGGAATTTCTTAGAATTAAAATACTTCAACAAACAAACAGATAATACTTTGCAAACAAGTTATATGAAGTATTGATGCAAAATAAATAAATACCTGATAAAAACTGTAATTGGATTTTGATTATAAATAATTTATACATATATTCTAATATTAAATTCAGAGATTAGTGAGCCTATATTAGAAAACTTTATGGTTAAAAAATACATATGGAAATGTATGATTTTTGATACAAAATTTGGTTTACCCAAAAAGTTTATAACGTTAGAAAACAAAAGTCGAAATAAGATAAATTAGCAACGTTGATATATAACAAACAAAATTTTGATACAAGCAAAAAGTTAAATTTAAAAATCATTTTAGAAAATTTTTTTTTTTTAATAAATAGTGTTAGACCAAATTTCATTGCATAAAATATTTTTGTAGAAAAATATTAAAATGTAAAGACTGTTCAACCTAACACAAATATTGAGCCATATTAAGGGTTCCATTATATATTCTAAATAAGCCAAGAATTTGGTTTATGCCAAAAAAATTACGGAATCCAATCAAAATTTCAATGATTGACATGGATACGGTTTGGCAGTTCGAAAATGTACCAAAATGTATTTTTACCAAACCCATTTTCAATTAAAATTCTGTTCCAATTTGCATATTAATTTATGTTATTAAAATGGAGCCGGCGCCCCAATGACTGAATTTTCGCTCCAGCTCCCCAGCACCGTCGGCAATATCTATTTCTATCTGTGTCGATGGGTCCGTGTTAAATTTTTGTAATAAAATGTCATTAAGTGTAAGTGCGTGGTGCCGTTTAGATTTATGGGCCCGAATGAATTACCAATGGCTGGGCCAAGAGTGAGTTCCGGTGAGGTGGGTGCTGATAGTGCCGGCTCTGGGTGGTTTAGCATGGTTTAGGATGGTTCAGGATGGTTTAGGGTGGTCTAGGGTGGTGCAGAATCCTTGTGGTTCCTGCGGCCAGAAAAATGGGTGCTGACCCGACAACGTTTGATGCCCAAAAGTTCTGTTATTAGTTGTAACTGCTTTGGCAGCTTAGACAAATCCGACAAGCTAGACTATATAGCATATAGCACCATGGCAACGGGAATACCCCCACTCCCAAACCGCACCTTTTAATACCGCAGGAAAAACAAGTGGAATGTGTCAATTATGTGGCGCAGATTGTCTCCTTTTTTTCCCCCTGGAATTGAATATTAAATCCTTGTGCAAAAACTATTCGCATAAGCTGCTTTGGGTAATTATTAGGTATTTGGTATTTATATCCAGCTTAGTAGCGAGATTACTCAGTCAGGGTATTTAGTAAGGTTTTTGCTGTTTTAATGTTGGAAATATTTATCAGCATAATACTCCATTATAAGGATACTTAAATTTATAGCTGAATGTTTAGGATAACTTTTTCTAAAAGGTTTTAGTATTATTGGGTACATTTTTAATTGATTGGTTTTGCCATAAAAAATAATTTACTAGGTTTTAAAGAAACGACAAAAATTATTTCGCCATGCCTTTTGCCATTATTGTTTGAGTACCTATTTATATACGAAAGTTAAACATTTCTTTTGCGTCAAAGGAATCATGATTTAAATGGAAAGAAAAAATTGCTAAATTCCAGTTAACAAACGGCCCAATCTTAATTATAAATATTACACGAAAACGCTGTATACCTTTCGTAAAACTTAATCCTAGTAACTGAGCTTAAGCTGGCGAAAAAACCTGACAATTGCCGGAGAAGCGGAAAAAACAAATTGTAACTCAAGCACCCAAAAAATAGAAAAAAGAGCAGAATGTGCGATGCTGCCGCCCACTAACTCCATTTTTCCGCCCCCATTTTCTCCGATTTTCCATGACCCCAAGGTGCACAAAAACAAAAACACTACGGGAATATGTGAAAGTGGAAACCGGTCCAGCGATTTTCCACTTAAGAACATGTCGCCGGCGGCCAAGTTCAACCCGAAAATATGGCAATATCTGCTCGGAGCTGGAGGCTGAAGTATACCCCCACCATTTCACCATTCACACCCAACTCCGATATTCCGCTTTTAGGTAATTTGAATACGGCCAGCAATCGTTATTTATGGGCAGGGGTTCTACAATTTCAGCCGGTCCGCGAGTGGGTGCTCTTCAGCAGATCCATTAACATCTAGCCCCACACTCAAACAAATTTTTGAAAGCCCATTTCAAGCAGGCTTTAAGTATTTATTACATTTAAAAAAAAACATTCTTCTAACTAATAAATTGAAGCAGTTTAAAAAATGCAGACAAATTTTTGAATTTAAATCAAAAGATTAAAAGAATTTATAAAATATTTAATTAGTATTTCAACTATGAGGTTGTTAAAAAACATTTTTTGCGGATTGTCAAGTTTAATAGCTTGTTAATGTTCCATCTTCAAGACAAAGCGATACAATAATTTCGGTATTTTGGCTTGTATTTTTTAAGGTGAAATTACAACTCAACAACAGCAACAGATCTAAAATTTTCCTATCTTTTTAAAACTTTGCGAGCTCTATCATTTATAAATATGTAAATATGTATAGCCAAATTAAAGAATGCTAAATCTCTAGTAAAAAAGGTACATTTAATGAGAGGGATTCCAACAGCACCGAAAAACTATGCTTTCGTCTTTGGAGAACATTAAAGATTTTAATTTGAAAACCAGACTAATGAAATGAATATAGCGTTGTGATTTAATGAAGCAAATTTTAGTATTTAAGTTGTAGGTTATTTGTTTTTTCGAGTGCCCGAATATTTGCCATCATCTGTGTGGGCATCCCCATTCTCATTTTCGTAACCCCGTCCGTATCCGTATCCGTATCCATTCCATATCCATACCATTATCCGGCGGACGCTAATCGATGCCAGAGGGCCAATGAATTGAAGGCCCGCTATTGGTATCGGGTTTCGGAGCATGGGTCTAGATCCAGATCCAGCGGAGCTTTTAAGTTGATCAAGTAATCCATATAATTTTGTGGTGTTATTTTCGTCGGAGGCGTCGCAAAATTGAATTGTCCCTGGCAGGGGCCATGATGACAGTGCCCGCCATAAAGGTTATGCCTCATTAGGGTTTGACCCGGAACTGGGAAGTTGAGTGTTCAGCCGTTATGGCGATAATAGGAGCATCTCGTCCCGCATCCAAATCGGACATGTGAAACGGTCTGAGTGATTGCCAAAAACAAAAAAAAACAAAGGAGGGCGGGGTATCCCCGAAAGTAAAGTGATTGCCCGTGGGAGGGGCTTTCGTATGATTGAAGTGTGAAGGATGCGAATCCCTACTCTTATGGGTGGCAAAATGTAATTCCCAGGGATCAGAGGTCCTGCCAAAATACGCAGCTTGCTAATGAAGTGAGAACACATTTAAGCTTCAAAGAAAATGGAATGGCCTTCGATAAGAGTTGGGTTCTGTTTTATTGGATTTATTTGGATTTAATCGAGAGAAATTACTCAAATGCCCAATTATCCATTAGTTTGAGTATTTCATCAAGCCAGTTCTAGACTAGATAACTACTATAGTTTGATTAACATATTTCTCTAGCTAGCTTTTCTTTCGAATATAACTTGGCAAATAAATTAATTTCCTAAATAAACCAAGTTTCAATGAACCATCGAAGAGAATTAAGTTAAGTCGCCATTCAAAAAGTTTTCCCTGCCATTCGAAAACTTTTCGCACAAAATAACTTTTAAAACTTGTTTGCCAACTTGAATCATATATTCGGAGCTTGTCCGCTCAACAGTTGTTTTATCTGAGGTTTAGCATAATGTAGTCCTTACTCGATGAATCCAGGGAATGTTTAATTTATTTAAAAACAATATTTGACAACAAGCTACAATAAAATAAAGAGAATCTTTTAAATTGGTATATGGATATAGTTTAAAACAATATAAGACTGTTGACTATTGAAATGATTTATATTTCATAATAGCCTTAATAATTTAATACAAATAAAGTATATATATTTTAAAGAAATACATTGATAAGGTTAATTTGAATGTGCGCTAGTTAATATTCATTTTTGTTTCACAAATTGAAATTCCGTTCTAAAAATAATATACATTGTTTTGAGTAACACCTTTAAGTAACCTTTAGTTTTAAAAATAATATACAATTTTTTGAATAAATTTGAAATTAATTTAGCTATTTTCATATTAACAAACCATTGTAAAATGGTATTATTTAAATTCGAATTATTTGTAGTTAATTAAGATATGTACATCAAAATACTTATTAAATATATACATAAATGTCTATGCCAATGGTTTCAGTGTTTGGATGTGTGTTGCACCTATTTGTTCCCAGAATTCGATCCGTTGAATGCCCTGACGGCACCATATCCCATAAAGAGTCCCACCAAAACTCCGCCCACCGCACATAGTGTGGGAAATAAATCGGGGGATCCCACCTGATCGGTTTGTTGACGTGGATGGGTTCCGGCAGGCCTTCTATCACTACTCCCAAGCGTCGACGTGCTTCTCAAACTTCGATCATATTGCGCCCTACTCTCCGAATCTGACAGAACGTCGAACGCGGCTCTGATCTTCTTGAAATACTCCTCCGTCCGGGGATGGCTGTTCTTATCCGGATGATAGATGAGGGCCATCCGCTTGTAGGCCTTTGCGATCTCCTCCGCGGTGGCGCTTTGGCTCAATCCCAGAATCATATAATGGTCCTCTTCCATTCTCGCGGAATTTGGTATCTGCTGAAGTGGTCTATATGTGAAGATTTTATTTTTGGGGTTAAAACTATAAATTTACGTCTTTTGTTTTCCCACAAGTGTTGTTTGGATCTGTTGTGAAATAGAAGCAAGAGACTTTAGTTGCAGATACATCGATACGTGATCGTGAGCGAAATATCGTTTGGGTACATCAAGGGTATTCCCTAATTATTTATCAAACAGCAAAATGTATAGTTAACATTTTTGAAATTTTTATATATTAGCCTTTTAATTTTAATTTTTTTAATAAATTTTAAAACAAATTCATTCTAATATTCTTAAGACTACAACACAACTAAAGCTAAATCAAAAAGAAAGTTCACTAGGGAATACATTTAGTGAAAAAAGGGACATCTAATTAATATTATGCGTAGCTTTTTTACTCTCTTTTTTCTAGGTCAAAAAAGGGACAGAAATCAGACAGGGTTTTTTCTTTGGTAAAACAAATAGGAACACGAGATAAAACAACGGTATTTACATATGTGTTGACGTGTGTGTGAGTGTGAGTGATGTGACCTCTGACCCTGCCAAGTGGAAAAATGAAAAATGGCTAGCGTAATTCCCTGATTGAAGCCTAACTGAGAAGGACAGATAAAAAAAAGGAAGGGCAAATCGGAGAAGTGGTCTTCAGAGAAAAAATACACGTAATAAAATTGTAAAACGCCAAAAATCTCTTAACGATTAGCCATTACTTGAGCGTTAAATACATTTTTATAAAACATTTTGAACTCCATATTTTGAAGCTCAAAAATTTATTTAGCATTTAAGTAGATAACAAATAAAATCATAAATTCCTAATACAATACAATTTTCTCTCAGTGCACCACAAGGCAGCCCAGAAACCGCTTAATTTCGCCAGGACTTTCCCTGTCTGTGTGTCTGTGTGTCACATGACCTCTAACCCATAAGAAGCTAACGCATGAACATTAACCATTTCGCAACGCATTTATTTCCATTTGTATTTGGGCCTCTTGCGGCTTCTGTCAGCGGCAGTTCAAACAGCCGAACTTCGCTATTGACAAATACAAATACCACCCACCATTCCTAATCATTAGATCTTTTGAGCGGGGGAAAAAGCTATGTATACATATATCTGAAAAAGCGATGAAATGATTAATTTCCATCGAGTAATTAAGTGTGGCTCGCCCAAATGAATCCCTTGAATGAGATGGTTTAACAATTACCCAAGTGCCTTTGTTTGGCCTCTTCCGCCGATTCTTTAAAAATAAAACTCCGTCAGATATTTGCACGATTTAGTCGGTGTTTATATATAGATATATAGTTTAACCCATTGCAAATGGGCACTTGAACAGCCTTTTCTGTTTATCATTGGCTTCTGTTTTTATAAGACTTTTATACTTTTTTTTCGTTCCTCTTGTTTTTTGGGGCCCGCCCAGTCGGATTCTTGTTTACAACTTTGTTGTTAGCCGAAAAACTTTCTCGGTTTGCTCTGTTTATGTTTTCCAATTTGGTGAGTATAAAAATTCCATCCCAATACCGAAAATCGAACTCGGAATTCATCCATTTCAATCTAAACAGTCGAATGGCCAGGAGTGAATAAAACTTTTGGAATTTCTCAGCTGTTTTTAGTACATGTCGTAATGGCCTGAGATCCCCTTGTTCCTATTCCGAATCCATTTAATATGCTGACCCAGCACAGTTTGTTTGCAGATAAATCATTAAACAAATCATTTACCTGTACCTATTTTTATATGTTGTGTACTCATTTTTTAGTTTTACATTTTTAACGCCAATTAATAATATAAAAAATATGTTGCCTTGAGCTAAGTATTTTTTTGCATTATCTTTAATTTGGTAGTATAGTGTTTTACTTGTGTTTTTCTCTTGATCTTAAGCATTTTTTGTAAAACCATTTAATATTTTATATTTTTTTTAAATGTATACATACTATAAATATGTGTTAAGTCAAGTTTATATAGGAAACACAAAATTATTTAAAAAAATCATAATGTTTAGTACGATTAAAATATTTTGTAATATCTTTTGGTTTTTCAAATATCTTAATACTATTATTAGGTATTAGGTATTAAGAACTCTGATTATCAGATGACCTAATAGTTATTGATCGGCGGACATTAAAAACGGACAACGAGAATCTCGAATAACGGACAGCGGACATCGAACTGCAGACAATTTGTTTACTTACCCGTTGAGCACAATTGACTTCTATTTTCGTGAGTTCCTATTAGGCTTTCGATTGTCTTAATTGCTGCCCCAACCCAAATGTCTTGGAACTTTTACCACTAGAGGCTACTTTCGGCCAATACTAGGCCAATACAGGTGAGAAAAGGTGTGTGGGGGGGGGTCAAGGGTCAGACTGGGTAAACAAATCCGAGTCAATTTTGAGGGTGGTCGGATAAAGTGTTTGGGTGTGCTTGTACAGTCAGAAGGAACCCAGTTTTATTATAACATTTCTTTAAAGTTTTTGTTATAAGTTTATTATTAATTTACTACCCAGTTTTCTGGGTTAGTTTTTAGACTCGACACTAACGAAATGAAAGAAATTTATGGGATGTGTGAGTACCTAATACCTAATGGATACATATATCAACGATTGCCTTTTATCTTTCACTGTATAGCTTGTGTACAAGGTTTTCATATTGAGGAATGTTTGATTTTCAGAAATTAAAGCTTAAACCCTCATTAATTTGTTTTAAGTTGCAGAGGAATTATGAGGAATATTCCATGCTATGCTTTTTGGATCAGTTTAAATTCCTGGATCGATGGGTGTGCACCCTATTTGATTGGCTCAATGAGAATTTATGAGCTACAGAGTTGTAAAAGTATCTTTTCTGATGGGAACCGTAGGTGCCGCAGCTGCCCCTGGATGCATTCTAGATGTTGGGAAAAAGGGGGACAAGGGGATGCCCCATGCTGGGGATCTGGATCTGGCTCATCAATCATGGCAGTAGCCAGACGAGTCCAAGCCGCACACATCAAACATTTCAATTTGCCGCAAATGTGTTGACAAAACGTTGATACGCCATCGGCATTCGTCGGGTTTTGTGGGGGAAGTGGGATTGGATTGCATGGGAGGCTGATGTCTCTAGCTATCCTATTCCAATTCCCAGCCCCATCACCATGCACATTAGCAACACGTGTCAAATGCGCAATGTCCTTGTCCTTGTCCTTGCTTTTGGATCCCCGCCTCGGCTGCCGCGCTTAATTACAATTTTATGGAGTCGCAGCCCCTTCTCATCATTTCCATTTCCATTTCCATTGCATGGCAGTGGTCCTTCTCCTGGCTTTCCTTGTGCTCCTGGTTCTACGTCTCCATCCGTAATTGCAATCCGTTGTCCTCTCCGCCGCCTGAGTTATGACCTGCAATGACATCGCCCATCGGCATCCTTGTTTATCCGGGAATCCAGGGGGACAGGCCATATGTTTCGACTGCCAGGAACTTTCCATTTGTTGATCTACAAATATGTTTTTTAAGCAAATTAAGAAAAGCCATTTAATGCCCCTCGAAGAGCAAGTCAACCCCAACGCTGAGTTCATTTTTTATTGCGTTGTACACATGAACGTGTCTAACTTTATTTTTCTAGATATTAAAAGATTTAAAACTTTAAATCAATTACCCTTTTTAAGTCTTTCTTATTTCTATTAGTTTTTAAAAATGGCTATGTGCTATATTTATTTTTTATTTTATATCACATTATAAAATAATAAAAAAGCACTGTATCTACTTCGATTTTTTAAATATGCCACAAATCTTTTGCAATGTCAATAATAATAAAAATATATCAAAAATCATTTTGGTTTTTAAACAATTTCGTTATTACTTACGTGAACCTTACATACTTATATTTAAATATAAATATTTAATAGTCCCAGAAATTGTAATAAAAAGATTGGTCTTTTTGATACATCAAAGTAAATAATAATTTTAAAAAGTATTTAAAAAAAATATTTTCTCCAAAGCATGCATGTACATTTTAATAGGAATATTTTCATTTGTTTGTTGGTCATTTTTTTCATTTACCATGGAGTACACAAAGTTCGTCAGTTCTTTTCCTCTTTTGAGCACGCTATATTCACGGTTCGATTTAATTTGATCTGCATTTGTTTGCCTTTTCCGTTTTCGCATTATAATTATACTTTTTGTGCAAGTAGTTTTTTCCTCTTTCGTTGGTGTCCATCAGAAAGTCAGCGAGTCATGCTGATGATGTGGATGATGCCTTATCGAAAGCCCAACAAATACGCCAGTATTCCCTGGATATGGATTATATTAAAAGAGGCTTGTGCGCAAAAAAACAAAGTGTCCTGCCAGTCGACGAAGGGGGAATTCACGGACCATTTCATCGCCATTGGGCCACAAATGTACTGTGCGTAATTTTTATTACAAACAATTTTATTACACATTTTACATATTTGCAATCTACAGTTTACAATCTACAATTTCCAACTTCAGATATCGAATATTCTGCGCATCCACATATGTACTTAGTATATCACAATCGATTGCGATTCCATGTGGGCGCTGGAAATTGCGTCGCATTAAGTGCAATCGTTAAAAATGATAAATGCACTGACAACAGCCTCAAGGGAAGATGAGTTGGGTTTAGGGGGTGGTCCACCACATATACTTATGGTATATACGCCATAGATATATATCTCATACATTCATTAGCGTGTTGAGTTTATCAAGCAAGGCATCAATGAGCAGGCCAAAACGTGCTCGTCTCATCTCGCTATTCTGCTAATCGGATGCTAATTAACCCATTTAATTGGTTAAACAAATATTTCGGCCCCATTTGCTAAAGAAATTTATGGTGCCATATAGGCCAAGAGCAAGAACATCTGTTTGTTCTGACGCGTTGGAATTCTCTTACGTTTGTGGATTCCCTTTGGCCATAAGTTTAACGAAATATGTTCTGGGATCTCTACATTGTTATTTTGTATGTTTAAATTCCAATTACTTCCTGAATGCTATTTTTATCATTATATTTTTAAGTTAGTTCGGGTGGGACCAAAAATAAATAAGCCAAAAGAAATACATTCAAATTTCATTAATAGATTGCTTTAATTTTTGATAATTTCTTTTTAGTGGTACTGGCTATACTTATAACGTTAGTATAGAAATTTCAATGGGAATTAAAATACACATTTACATATATATATGATTCATTAATTACAAACTACTGTACGCAGTTCGATAACAACCAGTCATCGATATCTTTATTGATCTTTTCCAGATCGCCTGTCCATCACTATGGCTTTGTCCATCCTGCTCGCACTCGCTTTAACGGTGGCTGAAGGAGCCGAGGGAGTGGAAGGGATGGCAACAGAAACAACGCGAACTGGAATCGGAACAAAACCGGAAGCGGAAGTGGAAATGGATGTGGTGGCCGCCCAAGAGTCGGAAGCGGCTGTTCGCGGGGTTATTTCGCTGCTGGGCGTGGGCGATGCCATCGAATCCGTAATCTTGGCCCCCGATTCCGGCGACAAGTGTCCTGGGGGCTACTTCCACTGCAACACCACGGCACAGTGTGTGCCCCAGCGGGCCAATTGCGACGGCAGCGTCGACTGTGACGACGGCTCGGACGAGATGAACTGCGTGAACGAGGTGGACGCCAAGTACTGGGACCACCTGTACAGGAAACAGCCCTTCGGCAGACACGACAACCTCCGGATTGGCGAGTGCTGTAAGAACTAAGTGCTATACACCTTTGTACGATACATACATTGGAAAACGAGCAAATTATCAAATTATGATCAATAATAATAATTTAGTTCAGTTTACAAAAAAAAGGTTAAGGTTAAAGACTTACACTTGCAAAAAAAAACAAAACATTACATATTTCATACTCATACATATGTATAAACATTATTTATTAAAATAACCCCAAAATTGGAATCGAATATATATAATTCGTCATTAAATCGATATATTTATATATTTAATGAAACAATACATATTAAAAAGCACGAAGGGTAGACGACAAAATGATTGTGAAAAACAGTTAACAGTTAAAATGGAAATGATGCATAAATAAAAGCGAACCACTTTAAACTATGCATTTCTTTCAGTGTGGCCCAACGAGAATTTCAGCTGTCCTTGTCGAGGTGATGAAATTCTTTGCCGATTTCAACAACTGACCATTATACCAGGACGACTACCACAGACCGATTTGGCAACGCTGTATGTACTGTATTACGTATACTTAATATTTAATATTATTACCTTTAACCATTTGCCAACATACAAAATTACTTTTAGCTAATTTATAATAATTTTTAGTTGTGGAAACTGCAATTTCAAAAAACTTTAAAAATTGTATAAATATTTAAGTTTATTTCTTACATGTAATTTGATTTACAGCGATCTAACGGGCAACAATTTTGAGACCATTCATGAGGCCTTCTTTAGTGAACTTCCAAACGTGGAGAGCTTGTAAGTAGATATTCTACACCGAAAAAAAAGTCTTAGAAATGAAACAATTCTCACATAAATTGTAACTGTTGAGTATGAATGATTTATTAAAGACAAATAATTCAAATAATATAAAATTAAAAAATTTAATTTATGTATAGTTTGCCAACAGATTGTTAAAACAAATCTCTATCAGGCTAAATTACATCTCTTTCTTCTAATCAAATTAACCTACAAGTATTAGCTTAATATTTTTCAGTATTAAATAAATAGTTATATCTTGAGTGTGTTTCTAGGGTGTTTGATGAAGTTACCCCTTTCTCTTACACCAAAATAAACGGGGGAATATTCATTGTCCTTCGTGTTCTTAATTAAAACGGAAATGCAAGCAGCTGACTTTGACTGCAGCGGTTGCATGTGATGGAGGATGTTCAAATTTTAAGGACAAAAGCCAGAACATAACATAACATTACAGACCACACCAGACCAGTCCGGTCCGGTCCTTTCCTGTCCAGACCAAACCGCATTGAATATTAGCGACATGCTGTGTCCTTAATGGTGCCTTTAAGTAGTCGTCGTCGTGGTGTCACTATCATCACACGCTGGCGTACATACAAATTACACACAAACTAGACAGCCGGAAGGATAAGCCAGGATGCCTCTCGGTCTCTCGATGTTTATGTGTCACTGGGCCAAAGGACATTCCATTGGCCCGGCTTAAATCAGATAGAGACAGTCGTGCTCTTGCTGCATGTCGCATCCCCAGTCGCCTGTAGCCAGTCGCCTGGAGATGGACATTCACGGTCCTCGAAGAGATCCCTTGTGTTCCGTAAGCACACGTACGATCTGGCTATAAATTTAAGCAACGAGAGGGAGTTCTTGGTACATTAAGAGAAATTTAAGTCGAAAAAGTCCTTACCACAATTTATTAAAACATTTTATTCAAAACTCGGTTGTCCCAACAATATTTCTTTAACTTTTATTTTGTTGCATTAAATACAAATGTTTGAATTCGATTGTGGATGGGTAAAATAGGTCGCCAGCTGTTCAAAACAGTCACTTCTATGGCTATACCTTTAATTTAGGCCAAGTTACAACAAAGGGACGATTTAGGAATTTTTTTTTTACAAATCTCTAAAAACCCAAAAAAGCACCTAAAAATCGGGTTTTGGATCAAAACCCTGGAAAATGATGGTCAAAATGTGGAATGTTATACATCGTTAAATTCGTAATAAAATTTCCAATCGAATGGCATTCACAGTTAAAATTTTTTCAGATTTTCAAATTACTGCAAAAAATGATGATGTACCCCCTTACAAAAAAGTCAGAAATTTGGACAAAAATAAATTTGTCAAAAAACGTTTTTCAGAATTCGGTTTTTGCGTCAAGACAAAATAAATTGTTTTCAATCGATCAGGGATGGATGGTATGGGTTGCCAGCTGTTCAAAATAGCAACTCTTTTGACTTTGGGTCTTCTTTTGGCAAAGTTACAACAAAAAGTCTCTTCAGAAATAATTTTGTTAGAAAAATCGCCAAAAATCCCAAAAAACACATTAAAAACTTGGTTTTTGTGTCAAAACCCTGGAAAATAATGGTCAAAATGTGGAATGTCATACACCGTTGAATTCGCAATAAAATTACCAATCGAATGACATTCACAGTTAAAATTTTTTCAGATTTTCAAATTTCTGCAAAAAATGATGATGTACCCCCTTACAAAAAAGTCAGAAATTTGGACAAAAATAAATTTGTCAAAAAACTTTTTCAGAATTCGGTTTTTGCGTCAAAACAAAATAAATTGTTTTCAATCGATCAGGGATGGATGGTATGGGTTGCCAGCTGTTCAAAATAGCAACTCTTTTGACTTTGGGTCTTATTTTGGCAAAGTTACAACAAAAAGTCTGTTCAGAAATAATTTTGTTTGAAAAATTGACAAAAATCCCAAAAAACACATTAAAAACTTGGTTTTTGTGTCAAAACCCTGGGAAATAATGGTCAAAATGTGGAATGTCATACACCGTTGAATTCGTTATAAAATTTCCAATCGAATGGCATTCACAGTTAAAATTTTTTCAGATTTTGAAATTTCTGCAAAAAATGATGATGTACCCCCTTACAAAAAAGTCAGAAATTTGGACAAAAATAAATTTGTCAAAAAACTTTTTCAGAATTCGGTTTTTGCGTCAAAACAAAATAAATTGTTTTCAATCGATCAGGGATGGATGGTATGGGTTGCCAGCTGTTCAAAATAGCAACTCTTTTGACTTTGGGTCTTATTTTGGCAAAGTTACAACAAAAAGTCTGTTCAGAAATAATTTTGTTTGAAAAATTGACAAAAATCCCAAAAAACACATTAAAAACTTGGTTTTTGTGTCAAAACCCTGGGAAATAATGGTCAAAATGTGGAATGTCATACACCGTTGAATTCGTTATACAATTTCCAATCGAATGGCATTCACAGTTAAAATAATGGTCAAATTGTGGAATGTCATACACCGTTGAATTCGTAATAAAATTTCCAATCGAATGGCATTCACAGTTTTTCAGATTTTCAAGTTTCTGCAAATAATGATGAAATTTATAAAAACCAATTTAATTGTTCTAATTCGATTGTGGATGGGTAGAATAGGTCGCCAGCTGTTCAAAACAGTCTTTCTAATTTTGACCAAGTTACAAGAGACGCTTAAGAAATTTTTTTATTTGACAAATCTCCAAAAACCCGAAAAAAAAACTCGGCTTTTGTATCAAAACGATGGGAAATAATGGTTAAAAGATGGAATGTCATATATGATATGATAATGTATACAATGGTGAATCCGTCATTAAATTGTCAACCGCATGGTTTATACTTATTATTTGTAAATGCAAATTGGTTATCAAAAAAATTGTTCATTGCTTATAAAAACTTGGTATTTGTATCAAAACAATATTAAAATTTACTACTTTTGTACATATTGATATAAAAATAGTCTAATAGTTATAACATAAAAGTAGTTGCAAATATACGGAGTTATTTAAGTTCAATGGGCTCAGTTGAGTTTTAATGCTAAATTAATATGAGTTTTATACCGGAACGTTATTTCAGCTAGCTTTATTAGGGTTAACTCTTTTCTGCCTGTGTACAAATGGTTTCACAAGTTTCCTGCTTCTGTTAAAGTTTTAAACAATCTCAGCTCGAATTTAAATCCGAAAGTTTTCCAAGAGCGGAGTTTAGTTGCTTGCGATTTCTCGAGTTTCCAATATGCAAAATCCTTTGGGACGAGAAGCGAACCAGGCAAAAGACAAAGGACCCTCGCTGCAACATGGATATAGTTAAACTGCCTTCCCTTCCATTACGCGTATATCCCAGGGATATTTTCAGCAAGTCATTCAATTGCATACATTTATCTTTCCACGATTTCGTGGCCAGATTTCATGACAATAAATTTTTAACGACGAAAACAATGTTTGTTTCAGCCCAGAGGCATGAACTTTTTTCACATTCTCGACTTCCTTTTTGAAGTGTGGGCGAGTCTTGGTTCTTATTGCTCCTCTAGCCAATTCCAAGAAAAGAATGGAGGCGACAAATATTTCTTTAAATAGGCTGACATTTCTGTCTACAGGTTTATCCCGCATTGAGCCATAAAAACTTGATGGCCAACAAAAACAAAGGAAAAATACAAATTTATTGATCCATTATTCCTGCCAAACGGAAACAAAATTCCAGTTCAAGTACATTAATGGTGTTATTACTTAAATTTGGAAAGACACAACTACTATTTAAATAATAACCTTTTGAAGAGTTTTTTTATTTAAAAAAAAAATTTCTTGTAGAAATTTTAGAATTGTCATGATTTTTTTGGTGAAAATCTGCTTAGCGTTTACTTACAACTTATTTTTTGGAAATTTATATTTATTTATTGGAATTCAACGATGGGTGACACTCCAACTTTTGACCATTACTTTGTTTTCATATCTTTTGATATAAGACCAAAAATTGTTATTTTGTTTTTACGTTATGTTTTTCTATTTGTTTATTTAAAATAAAGATCGAAAAAAAAACTTTGGAAACTTTACAAATTTAAATATAAAATTTAATTTTGAAATAAATTGTAAACTAAGTCATCGTATAAAGTATGAGTCCACTGGCTCCTAATCAAGACGAAATGCAAAGGCAGCAAGTCTGACTTGTTGGCCCCGTATTTGCTTTTACAAATGAGGCCCGAAGTTTTGGGACGAAAACAATGGTATGAGAAAAACAAAGCGCATTATTATCCATATCTTAGCCTTGGGTATGTTGGATGGGGGCGTGGCCGGGTGTGAAAAGTTATGGCAGCTATATAGCTATGAGAACTTTTTAGCCGACCCCATTGTGCAAAGTTTACAATTGAATCTCATATTTATTGCGTTTTATTCACTCGAGTCGCCTGTTTTTGTTTTTGGTTTTTTGTTTTCCGCCGCAGAGTGCTGAAGTTCTGCTCGATTCGCGAGATAGCCTCGCATGCATTCGATCGCCTGGCGGACAATCCACTGAGGACCCTGTGAGTATCCGTATCCCATCCAACCCACTCCCGACAATAACTCATAATTAAGTCTCATTATTTATGTGCACTTAACAGTTTTTCCATTTTTATTTTGTTGCTCCACCTCATTTTGTGTTCTTTAATACTTTCCCCCCCGCCAACTTATGCTCGCGTTGTCCTTTCAGCTATATGGACGATAATAAACTACCGCATCTGCCGGAACACTTCTTCCCCGAGGGCAATCAATTGAGGATTCTGTGAGTATTGGCCATCGGTTCAGTCGATTTTCATTAACGCCAGTTATGCGTTATTCCCGCCCTATTTATCCTATTTATCCTATTTACGATCGATTTCCGGGTGGCTCATGAATATTAGCTAATTTTATAGCTGTATTAATTAAATTTAAATATATGTTTTATACATATAAGCAAGTTAAATGTATTTTTTTCTCTGCTTCAACATATAACATCGATTGTAGTTCATATTTTACACCTGCATTAGTGCCTTTTATATTTATTTAATCCATTGGCATTACCGGCCATTCGTGTTATTAAAAATAATGTAATAAAAAGTACATACAATTGCAAAGGATTGTCTATGGATGCTAATAAAACATAAATCAAATTTGAAAGAAAAAAATAGCATACAACTTGGCTTAAATTTTCGCAATTTAGCAGTGCACAACTTTGCCCACACAACACAAATGCATTTCATGAATTCCAAAGGGCGAAAAGAGATATGCAGCGATAAAAAGCCATTATTTTTGGCCAGCCCGAGGTGCTAAATGACAAAAATCCAGTAATTGCCAATAACCGTAGAGGGTCGATTATATCGTGGGTCTCATATGAGATTTGGCCCACAAACACACACATATATTTTTGTTACACACAGTAGCCGATGCTAATCACAATCATTGCTGTCAGCCTTTGTTGGCCCATAAAGTGGGCCCATTGTTGCCGGTTTAAAGGCAACGCCAACACCTCTGGCGTCCCAATTGACAGACAATGTCGCACCGCATTCTTGCCTTATTGTTGTGCCGCTTTTCCCATTTCCCCTTTCCCATTTCTCCTTTCTCTTTTCCCATTGTCCACACTTTCCTTGATATTCCTCACTATTCGCCTCGCGGCCTCGAAGCATAAAAATATTAGCACAGGCGGTAAAAAGTTTTCGGCTTGTTTTGTGCATTGACTCGAAGAGAAGCTCAACGCCCACGCCCACTTTTCCCACCTACCACCTCCCATTCCACAGTCCCAAAAATACAATAACAACGAAAGCTGGCAAAAGGGCAAGCTGTAGAGGCCGAATCAGGGTCAACTTACCGGCTATGATACGCTCTTGATTTGGTATTAAGAAAACTGATAATTAATTTGTACCTAAAAAAAGGTTTAAGTCTTGAAATAATAAGTGCAAGTTGTAGTTATTAACTATATAGCACCCGCCATTACATGTATATTCAATTGCTTGATGTTAATAGTTTAAAAGCCAGATCTTAATTTTAAAGATAAGTTAGTAGTGAGTTTTAGTAGAAAAATATTTGGTATATTAAAATCTTATAAGATATGATAAATATCAAGATGATATTAGCAAAAAAAGCGATCTGATACTTTTTTAGAATATCAATTTATACATTTTTAATACCAAAATAACATTTTAAGACTAATATAATATTTTGTATAATAAAATTATACAATTTTTGTTTTAAAAATGAAATGATAGAAGATCAAGGCGATTTTATTTATGCTCAAAACGAAAGAATTGAAAAATTGTAACTCTTGAAAAATCAAAATCGACGTAATATGTTCACCTACTGAATTAGCTTTTAAAGCTTGGTGTTAGACTTTTTAATAAATTGGGAATCAGTGTGAGATTTCTTCTGCATTGTAAGCCCCCTTAATCTCCGACCTGATAAATATTATCAAAGCTTAATTGCCAATCCTTTTGCCATTCATCATATCCATCGGATATGCCCCGCTAAATAGACAAACACTGCTGGCGCACACAGAAGCACATAAACAACTCAGTTACACTTTTGCGGCGGATGGTGGATTGCAGGGGATTGCAGGGGATTGTAAAGGAGTTCCGTACTCCGTGTCCGGCGCCACTGAATCCGGAGGACCAGCTGCACTTGGCATTGCCCTGAAACTTTGCTCCGTCCGGTTGACAGTGGAATTTGGCCAGGGAATTGTATTTCTGGGGCACTATTGTGGGTGCTGTTTGTTACTTGCGCTTAATGGCTAATTAAAATCGAGATATATGTGCCGACTTTTCAGTGGTTGGTGGATGCAATTGCAGCGGCTTTTGTTGCCAACTCTTCAGCATTAAAATGAGATTTTTTATCTTTTTCTTTTACATACATTTTCGATGGGATGGGGAATCAGAATTTTGGCACGCAACCACCTGCACAGCCTGAAACGGAGTAATTTTCGGAATCTACAGCATCTGCAGGAGCTGTGAGTGTCTGTGAAAATATCTGGAAATGAGTAGCACACCTTAATGAGATATATGTATATATATATTTGTTTAAGGGACCTGCGCGGTAATCGCATTGGGACCTTTGAAGCTGAGGTGTTTGCCAATCTACCGAACTTGGAAGTGCTGTAAGTACCGCTTTTAAACAAGTCCTCATTTAGAATACATACTAGTGTAGTTTTAATTTGCAGCTATCTCAATGAGAATCACTTAAAGCAACTGGATGCGGAAAGGTTTCCTAGAACCCTGCTTAACCTGCACACTTTGTCCCTGGCTCACAACCAGATCGAGGACATTGCCGCCAACACTTTTCCCTTTCCACGCCTTCGATACTTGTGAGTTGATAGTCGTTGATAGCAAGTGGAAAAAATACGGGTACTTCTATAAATATATCAATCCATTGTCGATTGCAGATTTCTGGCTGGCAATCGATTATCCCACATACGTGATGAAACCTTCTGCAATCTCAGCAATCTACAAGGACTGTAAGTTGTATAGAGTTTTAAGATAAACTTAGAAACACCGTCTTAAAGCTATAGACTTTTCTTTGTGAAAACTATCAAATCAGCTGTGCTTAAAAAAGAACATAGAACTATAAAGAACTATAAATATTTTGGCGTATTCTTATGCTATAAGACAAATGAATCTTAACTCGAGGGTGATCTGTAGCAAATCTAATAATTTATCAATCTCGGTTAAAATTGTTATATTCAAACAATAATCAACTAATCACTGCTGCACCCAAATTCGAATGTACCCACAGGCGAGTCATAATTACAGGTCATCGAACAAACAAGTGTCACTCCTTTGACCTCTGATGGATTTTTCCTTCTGCTCGGCTTCTAGCTTCCAGCTTCCATAAAACCCGTGGCCAGAGGACTTCGGGACCTCTGATTCCTGATTTCTCTGATCCAGAGCGAAAGTGGAGAGAAAGTGTCAAAGGGGGGGTGGACTATGGCAGAAAGTGTCATTTGGATTTATTGCCGTTTAAGTTTCGCTCTGGCCGAGGAATTTAATTTATCAATAATGCTATGTGGGCTGGGGCCATGTCGGCTCAAGGCCGAGGAATGCCAAGCCAGAAAAGCTGACAGTTTTTCATTATACTCAAAACTTACCACTAGTTTTGGACCGAGCCACCCCACATTCCAGCATTGGCCATCATGCAATGCATATTGAGGAGGTCGTTGGAATGATTTGCATGCAGGGCAAAAATCAAAGAGATATTCAAGAAAAACATCAGAGAAACGGATGGATACGTGCCACGGCATCGGCATCGGCATCGGTGTCCCAACTTTAATGATGAAACTTTGAGCCCGAACGATGCCTGAACCTAAGCTTCCTTGGCTTCCTCGACCAATCTTGAATGCAAATAAGCAAATAATAAAATAGAACCAATGGTTGGCTTTTATGCGCTGTCGCTGTTGTGTGTTAAAACCATCTCAAGCTCACCATTTTCACCGATTTCCCCCTTTTTTTGTAGGCACTTGAACGAGAACCGCATCGAGGGATTCGACCTGGACGCCTTCGCCTGCTTGGAGAATTTGAGCTCCCTGCTGCTAACGGGCAATCGCTTCCAGACCCTCGATCCGCGGGTGCTAAAGAACCTGAGCAGCCTGGATTATATGTGAGTACAACAAGCAGCAGCGCCCCGAAAAAATCCACGAAAATTGTAATGGTTATGACCCACCACCCATCTTGCTCTGTCGCCGGCAGTTACTTCTCGTGGTTCCATTTGTGTAGCGCCGCCATGAATGTGCGCGTATGTGATCCCCATGGCGATGGCATCAGCAGCAAGCTGCATCTCCTGGACAATCAGATACTACGAGGCAGGTGAGTGCTAAGCCCCGTACATAAAATGAGTTCGATTTAATCAAGCTAAGTGCCTTTGCAAGGAGCTCCTCAGTAAAGTCGAGAACTTTTGGGTAGCAACAGTCGCTGTGTGCAAATTTCATTCATTAGACTGCAATTAAATCATTGTCATTATGGCCCTCCAAGTCTGCCGAGATTGCCGCAATCGAAACGTTGCAACTGCATTGCCTTGCCTACAAGTCAAATTATAGAGTGCAGGAGCGCGTTTGAATTCTATGCACAAGTTAATGCTTATTCAGAACAGAGCATTAGGCAAATGCCAGTCAATACAGTCCTATTTATTTATCCCACATTAAATAATAGATAGAGTAAGGTATTTATTTTAAAATTCATCTTTGAGTGCACTGGGAAATAATTTAAAGTACATTTAATGATTGGCCCCTCGTTGGGCGCCAATTACCCGCTGTTCGAATTTCTTGGCCCAGTGACTCAACACCCCAAAATCGAGCCTTTAGATGTGGCTAGACCCGCTGCCTAAACATTGAATTGGCCTGCGTATTTGGTATTTTAGCCAAGTAGCTACTTGGCAAGACAAATATGTAGACACATCAACAACTGGGAACGGGGAACTGGTAAATGGTAGCTGGTAATTGCAAACAGAGAACTCGGAACTGAAAACTGGCAACTGGCAACCGGCAGTCACTTGTCATCAAGACTGCTGAGTGATTATCTGGCTGCCAGCCATCGCCTGTTCGTTGTCTAGGATGTGTTCCTGTGCCAAATGAAAATTACGTTCCTTCCTTGTCGGTTTGTTTGTTTGTTTGCCTTTTACACATTTTCCACACACTCTGCATGCCGCCGTCTTCATCTACATCCGCATTTCCATCTCCTGGTTTTCCCTGCCCTGCCTCCTAAAAGCAAACATACACAGACAAACAGAGAAGGATGCTGGGATCCAAGGATATAAGGCTAGAAGGATGCCGGTGCCAGCGAGAATTTACTTTTGTGCTTAGTACATTATTTCATTATTCTAAGTTGACGTTTTCATAAAAATTAAATACTTTAGGTTTTCAAGTCGTCGGCGGGGCTCCTGTTTTTCCGGCTGGCTCCTTTCCGCTGCTCTCAGGCTAGTCTCCGCATTTATTAGCCACCTGGAGTCCCAGCCTCCATTTACTGGTATACGGGTACTGGTGCACGGATGGAAGTAGGAGAAAGTGGCTGCCTTGCACCAGGGATATTTTCCTTAAATTTACAACGTTAATGCGTTGTTGCTGCTGGCGAAGGAAGCCAGATCCAGAAATAACCTTCGCTTCGTTTGATTGGGTGACCTCGATTTATTTTGAGAAAAGAAAAACAAAAATTTCGAGTTTCCTGAGTGTACTTAAAATTGTGTGCTTTATTATTGAGCTTCTGGTCAATATAACTTACAATTTTGTATATCTTTAAGCTTGGGTGACCCAGGCACTTTATTATTATGGTTTAAGATAAGATAATTCTTAACCTGCGTCACTCAGCGAAATTATCATCCGTTCGCCACCTTTTATAAATTTTTTACGGCCACAGAAAGCTTAAAATTAAGGTTTATTTCCCATGGCGTCAGACCTTTTTTCCCTTTATTTTTGTTTCTATTTTCTTCAACCTTATTATAGAGGATAACCTTTGGTGCCCAGAGAAGAAGCTGCATTTAATATGCATTTAGTGAAATTGGCAACTACCCAGGCCGAGTCTTGGGTCGGCATTAGGTCAAGCCCAGAGATGGTCAATCATCATCAAGCCCCGAGTGTTGGCAATGAATAGGAAGCGGAACACCACTTTGGCATTGGCATAAATTACAGGGCGCTCTACCTCCAAGCATAAGCATCATGGCAGTGTCTATAATTGTCATTGAATTAGAGTCAGCACTCGCTTCAGCTGCTCCTACTCCTGTGAATGCTGATGTTGCTGCCGTGCTTTGTGCTTCGTGCTTTGTGCTTTGCGTTTTCTGCTTTGTGCCCAAGTCTTGTCGCTCCACTCAAGCATCCATGGCCACACCTCCCCGGTCAGCAGAATTGCAATAATGAGACACCCTGGCAATTGGCAATTGGCAATTGTGCGAACCACAAACACAAAGGTCAAACACAAGAACAGGGCGTGCTAAAGTGTTGCCCCGCAGGGAAGACTTAAATTTTCTTTAATTGCCCGAATTTATGGTTAGCGGCATAACGACAATTGTCCAAGTCAAGGTTAAATGTGATTTCCCCTATTTTTTCACACACACAAAAGAAAACAGTAAGTAAATATCTAAAAGAATTAGGGATACAATTTTTAAAATATATTATAATATAAAATATTTAAAAAAAATGTATTTTAAGATTTGCAAGACTTTTTAATTAAAATTTTTTTTTCTGCTACCAAAAGCGCGAGTTCAAACCCCGATGCTGGCCAATTTTTTTAATATTTATAAATCGTGAGGACCTTTTTTATATACAAAGGGAAAATTAGGCCCACGGTCAATAAAAAAAATCATGAAATAAATTAGAATAATTCATATACATTTTTTTTTTATAAATATTAAATTTAAATCATGATTTAAACGGATTTTTAGTCATTAAAATATTATTGATTTTCTAATGGGATAAATATTTTTCTGTGCACATTTCTCTACTCGGCCAGTGTTTGGGTGATGGCCTCAATTGCCGTGGTGGGCAACCTATTGGTCCTGCTCGGGCGCTACTTCTACAAGTCGCGGAGCAATGTGGAGCACTCGCTGTACCTGCGCCATTTGGCCGCCAGTGACTTCCTCATGGGCATTTACCTAACGTTGATTGCCTGTGCGGACATTAGCTTCCGCGGCGAGTACATTAAATACGAGGAGGCCTGGCGCCACAGCGGAGTCTGTGCCTTCGCAGGTGCGTAGCTGTCCCCCATTCACCCTTTTCCACAAAGGGATGCTAATGTGAATTATGTATCCGGCGTGTAGGCTTCCTCAGCACCTTCAGCTGCCAGTCGTCGACGCTGCTACTTACACTGGTCACTTGGGATCGTCTGATGTCTGTGACAAGGCCGCTCAAGCCCCGGGATACGGAAAAAGTTCGGTAAGTTAATTGCCATAGACCTAAAGGAAAAACTTATATTATAGCACAAAGAAATTACTAACTAATAAAGACTTAATAACATTTTAGTACATATTAATGTCAGTTGTAAAGAAATAAACAAATTTTTAATTATTATCAAAACCTTTTATTGTTTAAAGTATTCGTGGTTTGATTTAATTAAAAAGTTTTCTAAACTATCAAAAACTACTCTGTCATTAATTATACATAAATTTTCATTTCTTTGCTCTATTATTATTCAAATGTCTTGATTTTTAAATTATATTAATATCTTTTCTTATAAATCATAAGAGCCGAAGACTGATGTTGTTGATTTGTCAAAGCACACAATTGTATTTATCTAACAAATATTTTTGTACCAAACAAAAACTACATCTCGTAAAAAGGTTTGACTATGGTTATTTATTATAGAATTGTCCTGCGCCTGTTACTCTTGTGGGGCATTAGTTTCGGATTGGCTGCTGCTCCACTTCTGCCCAATCCTTACTTTGGGAACCACTTTTACGGCAACAATGGTGTCTGCTTATCGCTGCATATCCACGATCCCTATGCGAAGGTGACTATCCCTGGAGACCATGGCGATTAATTACTAGATTAAAAATTATATTCACAGGGCTGGGAGTATTCGGCGCTACTGTTCATATTCGTCAATACATTGTCATTGGTTTTTATTCTGTTTTCCTACATAAGGATGTTGCAGGCGATACGGGATTCAGGTGGCGGAATGAGGAGCACTCACAGCGGTCGAGAGAACGTGGTAGCCACTCGGTAAGTTTGGAAAATTTCTAAAATTTCTTTCTGTAACAGATTCAAAACTGGAACTCAATTTAAAAAAAAAATTAAATATGATTTTTTTTAAAGACTAGAGCCGCGAAAGTAGAGTCCGATTCCAAACTTTATACATAAATAGGAACATACATATTTTTTGAAATTATAGTCGTGTCCTATAATTTCACGAATACGAGAACGAACCTTCAAGTGTTCCCACTGCTCAAAGACTTTTAAATACCCTATTTAGCAGTGGGAACACAGTAATGAGCGGTTTGAGTCCATTCCTTCTTATTTGTGAAATATAAATATAAATTTGAAAATTATTATTATTTTATATTATATTTTAGCTTTGCTATCATTGTGACCACCGATTGCGCCTGCTGGCTGCCCATAATTGTGGTTAAAGTGGCTGCCCTCTCAGGTAAGGAAACAGATAAGCCCCTTTCTCTGCAAAAAAAATTGTTTTTCTTACCGAAAAATTTTTAATTTTTGAGGCAAGAGAGCGGGATTACGCCTTGATTTATATATTTTGCTATACTAATATGGTCATATTTTCTTAGGATGTGAGATCTCACCCGATCTGTATGCCTGGCTGGCGGTACTTGTGCTGCCCGTGAACTCGGCCCTCAATCCGGTGCTCTACACGTTGACCACGGCGGCCTTCAAGCAGCAGCTGCGCCGGTACTGCCACTCACTGCCGAGCTGCTCGATGGTGAACAACGAGACCCGATCCCAGACCCAGACCGCCTACGAATCCGGTCTAAGTGTCAGCCTGGCCCACGTGGGCGGCGCTTTGGGCGGCGGATCAGGGCGAAAGCGGCCGTCCCATCGGCAGATGAGCTATCTGTAAGGGCTTTGACCGGCCAAAGCCGCAGCACGAGATCAACAGACTTACATAAAAACCGGACAAGAGGGTGGGTTGCTTTACCATTGGACACTTCCAAGTAATGGGGGCCTTAAATTATTGGTTTTACATTATTCGACAACACTTTTTCCATAAATTTAACTTTTTATTATGCTTAAGAGCAGTTTTATATTAGCAGTTCCCTAATTTTTTTTCTAGATAAAAACATTAGCTTGAGAAATTTGAAACCCCTGCCATTTCATAACGTTTATTTTGCCTCATTAAGAAATTCATGCTTGTTTACATAGTTACATAAATTTATATTTTACCAATCGATTTTAAGGCAAACCACTTAAAACAGTCCAAAAAATATTCTGATTTTTTGTTGCATCCGCATCAATCGACCTGCCCCATGAGGCATTGTTACATGTGATCTAATAATTAAATCTTATTGTAATTCTATAAATACATATTCAGATGTTAGTTGAATGCGTCGCTGTACATACGATTTGTAATCGGGAGGCGGTAAATGCTTGGCATTCCACCTTCTAGGCGTTGCCCTGCGGCTCGGTGGCTATATTGACGTTCGCCTGCAAGTAATATGGTCCCTCGTTCACATAGGCCGTAAAACGCACAGTTTCGGTGGGTGAAAACTCGGAGCTGATGGTCAGCATCTCCATGATCTCCCACTTGAGAAACTTGACGTCCTTGTGCAGATCCTTCTGACGCGAGAGCAGGAACTCCACAGCTCCGCCGGTGTTTCTCAAGGCCACAATGCCCCAGGCGTATTTGCAGATGGTTTTCAGCAGACCCAAGGCGGCCAACTGGAGGTCGGGAAACGGTGTGTTGATCAGTTCCATAATGAGATCGGCCTGTGCTCCCCCAGCGAAACTTTCGTACCAGGTCTTCAGGATGTCACTATCGAAAGAGGGAATTATCAGCAGAACAAATCTAGACTATGTAGTGCAACATACTTGATTTGCTTGGTAGGCGGAGCCTCCAGCGTATAAATCACATCCAGCGAGTTGAGCAACCGCACTTTGAGGGGCGCCGGCAGTGTCTTTGTGTATGAGCCGTACTTCTTAAAGGACTCCTCCACGGCGTGTTTGAATTGCTGGAACAGCAGCACCATGCCCTGCGGTGAACTGGCCAAATTAGCTAAAGTGTCCATTGCTGTGGGCAGACTGGTCAAATCCTCCGATTGCAACGCCTGGAACAAACAGTCCAGCATGTGCGGATAGCCCGTTATGATCTTTTCCGGCTGTACGGTGGCCACCTTGCCGAAAAACTTCATGATGCTGGGTATGAGAAGGCTGTCCAAGGGATTCTCGTCTATGCACTGCACCCGTGCGCTGATCACATCGAAAACGCGTCGGCGTTCCAAGTAGGACAGGCCATGGTTCTGCTCGGCCAAAGGCACTAGAATCTCCAGCACGCAGGCCTGCAGCAGGACATCTTCGTTGTCCAGCTCGCGGAGCGCCTCGTCCAAGATGAACTCGACGGCGCTGAGGGAAGCGGCATTGCTCTTGGCCAGGGAAACGGCCAGTTCGTAGGCGCGACAACGCACTTCTTCGACCTCCACCAGGAGTTCCACCAGCTTGGCATGCACGCCGGCATCGCTGAGGCGCTGGACGAGCACAATGGACAGAATATTGATGGCCGCAGAGCTGGCCACCGAGTTGCACTGCTTCAGCTCGTCCAGGATGAGGAGGAGTAGCTCGTTGTTGGGTAGCAAGTGCACATGGCCGGCGGTCAACTGGCGGCGCACCTCCCTGAGCACTCTGGCCAGCACTAGGGCGCGCAGTGCGGGATTGGAGTGGGCCAGACCGGGACCCAGCTGCCGGGGCAGATTCTCGTCGGCGGTGTCCAGCGGCAGCTGGTCCAGGCAGTGGCCCAGCAGCTCCAGGGCCACAGCCACGGCGGGATCTTTGTCGGAGTCCCCGGAAATTCTGGCACAGTCATACAATTCCGGCGTGCTCATTAGCCGTCCGATGATATGGCGCGGAAGAGCCGCATCCTTGGCAATCGCCGTGTTCATTCTGGTCAGCGCCTCAAGGCGTTGCGGCCCAGATTCCAGAGCCATAAGACTGGCAACCCACAAACTCTCCTCCATTTCTTGTCTTCCGGCTTCTTTATGAAATTAAATCAAAGGTCGGTTGTTTGTTTCCTGCGTGTTAAGTTAACTTCTTCCGCAAGGATGTGAGAAGACTATTTGTTTTTAAATGACAATTGTCTTTTATGTTTAGTGTGGCTGTCGCTTAAGTTCTACATATTCCTAACCAACTGTGCTCTGGTTACACTGTTTTGTAAATCAAGTCTCTTATTATTCAATTTGTTTAAATATTTTTAATATTTAGCCGGTTGTATTATAAGACAGAATTTTTTTTCTGAAGTAATAAATGGCTTTTAACATAAACATTTGCAATTACCTTTTTGTGAAAATAAATGTTTGCAAAAAGTGTTTGCCGCTAATGCTGCAGCCCTGGCAGACGTATCGAAAAACTATCGCTCAGCCGAACAGCTCTAGTGTTAGTGTAGCCCTGTTTTGACGCCATTTTACAGGCGAAATTGTGTGTGTGTGACGCGTTGTTGTAAACCCAGCAAAAATCCAGAAATTTTTCTTTTGCTGTAAAAAGCTAGTGTTTACGGCCGGAAAAGAGAAGTAGAAGCAGAAGCTTGAGGAGGAGGAGCACTTAGTGAAGATGTCGCAACGCTTTGCACCTGGCCAAGCGCCGGTGCAGTCGCGCTACCAGCCGCCGCCGCCGTCGCCCGGCATGCGTCCCTATCCGCCGCCAGGCGCCACTTTTCCGGTGAGTTTTTCCCCCCTTCCTGGGCTTTTTCCCCCACCCCCTTTTCCAAACGTGGTTAATAATGTTCGTTCAATTTCCAAACAGCCGCGCGGCTTTCCCCTGCATCCGAACACCACACAACCGGTTCCGGGCACAACGAACGTGGCCGGAGTGCCGGGAGTTCCCGGAGTGCCCGGCGGCGTACCCGGGCCATCGTTGCTGCAGCGCGCCGCCCAACAGCCGGCCTTCCAGAGTAGCCTGCGCGGATCAGGTGCCGCCGGCGGAGGCGGTGGATCCGGCGGCGGGAGCAAGCGGTCCAACGAATCGCGCAGCTTGGGCGGCGGAGGCGGTGGCAAAGGCGATTTCGTTACGGCCAAGAAGAAAAAGAAGCTGGCGGACAAGATACTGCCGCAGAAAGTGCGCGATCTGGTGCCGGAGTCGCAGGCGTACATGGATCTGCTGACGTTCGAGCGGAAACTGGACGCCACCATTATGCGCAAGCGCCTGGACATCCAGGAGGCCCTCAAGCGGCCCATGAAGCAAAAGCGCAAGCTGCGCATCTTCATCTCGAACACATTCTATCCCAGCAAGGAGCCCTCGAACGATGGCGAAGAGGGAGCCGTAGCCTCGTGGGAACTGCGCGTGGAGGGCCGCCTGCTGGAGGATGGCAAGGGCGATCCCAACACCAAGATCAAGCGCAAGTTCTCGTCGTTCTTCAAGTCGCTCGTTATCGAGCTGGACAAGGAGCTGTACGGGCCGGACAACCATCTGGTCGAGTGGCATCGCACCCACACCACCCAGGAGACGGACGGATTCCAGGTGAAGCGGCCCGGAGACCGCAATGTGCGCTGCACCATCCTCCTGCTGCTCGACTACCAGCCGCTGCAGTTCAAGCTGGACCCGCGACTCGCCAGGTTGCTGGGCGTGCACACGCAGACCCGGCCGGTGATCATTTCCGCCCTCTGGCAGTACATCAAGACGCACAAGCTGCAGGATGCCCACGAGCGGGAGTACATTAACTGTGACAAGTATCTGGAGCAGATATTCAGCTGCCAGCGCATGAAGTTCGCCGAGATACCGCAACGCCTCAATCCGCTGCTGCATCCACCCGATCCGATTGTCATCAATCACTTCATTGAGAGCGGCGCCGAAAACAAGCAGACCGCCTGCTACGACATCGATGTGGAGGTGGACGACACGCTCAAGAACCAGATGAATAGTTTCCTCATGAGCACCGCCAGCCAGCAGGAGATCCAGGGGCTGGACACCAAGATCCACGAGACGGTGGACACCATCAACCAGATGAAGACGAACAGGGAGTTCTTTCTGAGCTTCGCCAAGGATCCGCAGATGTTTATCCATCGCTGGATCATCAGTCAGACAAGGGATTTGAAGGTAAGTGTGTGTCGCTCTCTTTGGATTATGCAAATTCTCTAAACTCCCGCTTCCTTTTAACAGCTGATGACAGATGTGGTGGGCAATCCGGAGGAGGAGCGGCGGGCCGAGTTCTACTACCAGCCATGGACGCACGAGGCCGTCTCGCGCTACTTCTTCACCAAGGTCAACCAGAAGCGGGCCGAATTGGAGCAGGCGCTGGGCATACGCAACGGTTAGGCCAATGCGATTCGTCGATCTCCTCCAGCAGCCAATTTCTGGAAGCAACGCCAACCAGCATCCGTAATCCGTGCGCACGGCAAACTCTTTTTCCTTCGCCAGTTTAGTTTAAGCTTAAGGTATATCCCTTTTTTTTCGACAAGCTGAACTCCAACCCTACCCTTTCCATAACCCAAATCCTACATCCACAGCAAACACACATCCAGAACAAATATTGGACTTAACAGTAAGCTAATAAAACGGCATACAAATATAAAAACCGATCTTTGAAATTCGAAGCTTTTGGTATTTGTTTTTTTTTTTAGAGAAATCTTTTTCCCTTTAAGTTATTCCCCAAAAAACACGAGCAAATTTATTTGTTACACCTGCAATTACATTTTTAAAATATGTGATTTTATTTATGCAGCCCTCTGGTGCTGATGTGTTTTTTTTAAATTTTATAAAATGCGTTTTGTCTTGTTTACTATATAGTTTCGATTAGGATCACTTGTTGGCCGTCTATCTGAATTCCTGTTAACTGATTGTTTCTAAAAACCTTCTGATCTACGTTGGGTATATTTATTGTTTGGTGCAACTTTTGGCTATTTAAGCTGTCTAACAATATAAAACAAATTAGACCAGCATTTAAGTCATTACACCTTTTTTCTTAGATTACACTTTAAAAATACGTGATTCTATAATTTTGCAACCATTTTTTAAAATGCATTTTCTGTTTAATAGCCATTTTCATTTGGGATCAGTTTGGGATCCATATGATAACTTCTATTTAAACACATATTTTCAATAGTGGACTCTACAACAAAGGGTTTATATATCACTACTAAACTAAAGACGGAGTCGGATTACATTAAAATGCGATGTGGACTACAGCTCAGGCTAGACCTTAAGCTATAGACGGAATGTGCAATTCTTACTTCTCTTTTGCTTCACGATGTGGGATCAATTGCGCTTCTTGCGACTGGCCGCAGTGGAGGTGGAGGCGGCGGCGGATGGGGCGTTGGCAGTATCCGGAGTTTCGTCGATGGCCAGGCCCGTGTCCAGGCGACTCTTGTCCACGGGATAGAGCCAGCGCTGGTACAGGTAGATGATGAACACAATGTCGTCGCGCAGACAGGCCACCCGGTGGGCCGTGGGCATGGTGATGATGAAGGCGAAAAAGTCGTCGATGAAGGTGTTGAATGCCTTGTACATAAATGCGCGCCACGGCAAGGCGGCCACAGACTTCAGTTTGTAGTTGACGAAGAGTTGCGGCAACATGAACAGGAAGCCGAAGGCGTAGACCCCATTGACCAGCGAGTTGAGGGTCCACGAGTACCAGGATCGATGCGGCTGATAGAGCAGCGAGTATATCGCTCCGCCCAGGCAAAGCGGATACAGCAGGTAGCTCAGATACCGCATGCCCTGTCTGTCGAACTGGTCCGTCTGCTCCTCCTCCTGCGCCAGCTGACCCTTCTGCTGCCCATCCGTCTGCTTTCCATTATGCCGGTCCACTTGCTCCAGCTTGCGACGGATCAGTCCGCTGAAGCTCAGCTCCAGGCGCAGTATCTTCTTGCACTTCCACAGCTCGATCAGCGTGCCCAGAGCGACGGGCACAAGCACCAAATACGAGGTGTTCTCATCCAGCAGATACAGAAAGATCACAATCTGTGAGAACGCCCGCCACATGGTGGTGCGGGTGGAGAGGCCCTCGTACGATCGTTTTTTACGCCAAAAGGCCACGTCGTTCTTAAAGCTTAGGAAGTCGAACAGCATCTGTGTGGAGGGAGAAGCTAAATTAGTTATAATATTGGAGTATTAGTATTAGCTAGTAAATTAACATTGAATTGTAAAGCAAAAATCTTTCGTATTTTTTTTTCTTCCTATTTTTACTGTAAAAGACTGTATATAAATAAATTAAAAAAAAATATCTTCAAAATGGTTCTATTTAATTAATTTTAAAAACTGAAAGCTTGTGATTTGCCAACCAGTACTCACATGGATGCTGGATACAAAGATGGTGCCGCACAGCAGGTAGACATTGGTGTCCGAGAAGATTCCCTTGACCTCGTCGATGTCCTTGGTGGCGAAACCGACGGTGCGCAGGGCTTGGGTGGCGTGCTCCATGAGCAGCATCAGCCGGAGCTTGCCCACGCCCACGGGCTTGTAGTGGAAGCTGAAGGTGTACTCGGTGGTATTGCGGGTGACGGGCACCAGGTCCTTCAGTCGTGTGTTGAATGTGTCGGTCTGTAGGATGGGCAGGATCTGTTGCATGCGATTGACGCGTATCAGAGGGGCCATTTCCGGTGGGACATCCGCTTGGGAGACGGAGAACAGATCGGTGAGCAGGGTCACATAAACATTCGACCGGATGTGGGTGCTGGGACGTCCGGAGGCGGCGGACGCTCTTTTTCCCCCCTTCTCCTTGACAGAAGCAGCAGCTGCTCCTGCTCCTTTTTCTTGCTCCCCCAGCAGATTGAAGGCCTCCGCTCGCGGCACCACGTAATCCGTAAGACTAAGAGTGTGCACGACGGTGGGTCCGTCTCTTCGCAGGCTGCGCCACTCCAGCGGCTCACCCTCCAGGGCCAAAACGACATGGAAGTACAGGGAGCCATTGCGTCGTGTCTTGAGCGGCACCTCCAGTTCGAAGTCGTGCTCGAAGCTCTGATCGTAGTCGAATCGCTTGGCCTTGTACAAGTCCCGCACCTCGGAGGCAATGGGATTCCGGCTGAGAGAGGAGAACAGGGCCAGCTGGAGTCTTGGCCGGTCCGCCAGGAAGGACGTGTAGCAGGGCACCCCGCTGCACTGCAACGTTGTGAAGAGCTGCGACATCTGGTAGATGGAGTGGCCGATGTACGCCAGGAATGCCACGCCCAGCAGCGTCGAGATCGAGGGCAGGGCCATCTCCGTTCCGGTTCCGCTTAAGCTTACGCTTACAAACTTTTGTTGCTGGGTGGGGGTGGTTGTGGGCCGAAGTCACGGAAGCTGTGAGATATATATCGATAGGTCTTCGAACCGGTATCGGTATACCGGCTGTAATTGGCAATTTAATAAAATATTTTCTAAATACTTCTTTCCTTTTAACTTAATTAATTTATTTATTTCCCAGTGACCCTCCACCTAGAGCCGGCAAAATAGGGATGGGTTGCCACTATCGATAGCACCGATTGTACGATCATTATCGATTTCGATACAACAGTGTTGGTAAGGGTATTTGGTACCAAAATTGGAAAAAATATATGCAGGAATCCCCATAACAGTAAACCTACAATCGATAAGTAACGATAAAATTCCCCTGTTTTTATGGCTAAATTGTAAACAAACTATCTAAGGAATATAATCAAGGTCCGAACGTAAGTGAAAAAAACTGGCATTTCAAGGAGATCTGTAGAAATAGTTAACTATTTTTTAGGGCCATGGAGTCGTCAATATGTCGTGTTTGCTTGGAGAACAACGCGAACATGGTCAATATCTTTGGGGCGACCCAGGGATCGGGGATCTCTATTGCGCAGATGATATCCCAGTGGAGTGGCCATCCAGTTGAACAGGAGGATCCCTTTCCCAAAACCATCTGTACCTTCTGCCTGGCGGATGCGGAGAATGCCTACGAGATGGAGGTATTGCACTGTGAGGACGAGAAGATCACCCATCAGAATGTTGTCCCAGCTAGGGAAGAAGGAGTTGAAAACAATGCAGACTATAAGAATCCTATCGAATATCAGATCCCCAGCCAAGTCAAAAAAGATCTCCTTGAAGATGACGCATTCTGGGAAGAATATTGCCAAATTTCAGACTCGGAATTCGATTTACCCCAAGTGCTGGAGGATGATAAACAGGATTGCATGCCTATTTCCACTTACGTAAAGGATAAAATGCCGAGCGAAAGTCCTTTTCAATGTACCCATTGTCCGATGTATTTTGCAAGTAAATTGGAACTTCAGATACATTTCCAAGCACACATAAACGATCGACCTCACATGTGTGACCTCTGCTCGAAGACTTTCTCAACAAAGCAAGTCCTCAAGGTCCATAAGCGAATCCACACTGGAGAACGACCGTTTAATTGTCATCATTGCACAATGAGCTTTACAACCAATTCAAATCTTAAGCGACACCTGCGAGCGTACACAAAAAAACAACAACTTGCCTGCCCTTATTGTTCACTTATTTTTAAAAAGAATGGATTTCTTCAGCGCCATTTGAAATCCCACCATCAAAAAGGACAGTTTGTTCACCTAAAAGACTTTGACAGTGGACAAATCAAATAATAAAATAAAACAAATAAATATAATTATAAACAGAATTATGTTATTACTAACCCTGTTGCAGGCAGCATATTCCTAGTGAAATTGTTTTCTTGTTTTACTTTGCTTATGATTTATGTCATTGTCCTGCTAACGTAAGTCTAGGAAATATTAATACTAAATTACCAAAAAATATTTATAATTACGTATTTAAGTTATTTAAGTAAATGCAATTGTAATATACATACTATATACTAGAATATTAAAGTTTATTTGTACAAGCCCTTTTTTTCGAGCTTACATCTGTTTCAAAAACTTTGAAAAATTACATTAAACACCCCTACTTTGTATTTGGTAGCAGTTTTTATTTAAAGGTTTATATATAACAATATATAGCATATAGTATATACAACATGATTTCATAAAATTAGGTACTAAATTTTCATATAATTATAGCTATTAAGTACTATGTATAACTCTTCCTCTTCGACACGCGCAAAATTTCCAAACCTTTGGAATAAATTAAAGGACTAAAATGTACACATTATAAAACAAAAAGATGACAAAAAATAGGTTGAACTGATTTGCACGCTTTCTTTTTTTTCGATTTTTGTTTTGAAGCGGAACACATTTGTGAGTGAAAGTGTGGTGCACAGAGTATATATATAGAGTATATAGAAAACGATCGGAAGAAGTCGTGTGTGTGTGCAGATGAGTCGATGCTATAAATATGTGGGCATTGCTTGATAGACAAGAAATAGATAACATGACAAAATGGGGGGTATAAATAATCGGAAATGGGCGGAGTTGGGAGTGGCGACTTAGGCGAGGCGTTTCTTTCGACTAGGGGACAGGATCTTCAGCATTGTGACGACGGGCGCCTCGAAGGACATCGACACCATGAATGACAGGAAGTAGGAGGCCACTGTGAGACCGAAGAACATGACAACCTGAAAGGAGGTAAACATAATAAGAAGTTAAATAAAAATTATATAAATAAGGCAGTTAAAAAAAATGGGATTACATACATAACATAGTGAGTTTAGTTTTTAAAAAATGTTAACTATTTCTAGTTCCAAAACAATTGTTAAAAGTCAGGGTGATTTATAGAATAGGGGTTTGGTTCTACAACAATTTCTGCTTTTTTTTTAAGTCAAAATGTATACTTTTTGGAGAAATGTGTTTTATTTTTATTTCTGACCAACACTATTCTATATTGACCAATTTGTTTTTTATGACTGTTTTTAAAATAATTTCGAAAGTAAAAAAAAAAATTGAAAATCCTATCTTAAGTTTTCAAAAGTTATGTAGATCTCTTTTGTACATCGTTTACCAGCATTTCAGGGTTATATTTCGAACTTGTTTCGAAATTGCCGAATAAATTGAATAACTCACCATCAGATCCCCGCCCAGATGCAGCGGCGCGTCCGAGTTGAGCGCCATGGAGCGGATGACGATCGGGTGGACGAGGTAGGCGCAGTAGGTGACGCGGGAGAAGGGGTAGAGGCAGGGCGCCGAGAGCAGCGAGTTAATGTAGCCGCCATAGCCGGTGGAGCAGGCGATGGTGATCCAGGCGAGGGACAGCGCCCAGGCCGAGTGGCTCAGCGAGCTGTAGGCGGCGGCGGTGAACTGCGACAGGTCGGCCTTGTACAGACCAAAGACCAGGACGAACAGGTTGAGCATGGCCAGGGTCCAGGCGGTGGCCACCGTCAGCTTGGGCAAACGGATCTTGCAGTTGGTCCGGAACAGGATCCAGCCCACGGCCATGCCGATGAGGTAGGGACCCAAACGGGTCCACGGCTTGTCGTAGATCTTGTCGAACAGGGCCAACGGATCGTCCGTGTTCGGGCGATGATTGTTGGTGAACGCAATCACCGCGGTGGTGATCCACGAGAGCACCAGGAACACCAGCGTCGTAATCGCCGACAGTTTGAAATGACGCACACCGACGATCAGGATAATGGCGCCGATCATGTAGAACTGCGTGTCATTCGCCAGATACCAACTCCAAAGCATGCACTATGGGTTGAATATAGAAAATATAAATTATAATTTTTAAATTGTGATAAATTACTTATGCAAAATATATCAAAATATATTTGATAAAATATAAACCGTATTATTACTCTCTTATTTAAGGCAGCATTAAAATAAATGAATTCTCAAGTCAACACTGCGTATGAGTAGGACTTGTTATCGTTTTTTTTTTACAAATAATATGGGTATGTTATTAAATAAAGTTATTAAAAAGCGTCATACTTTTAAATTCGTTTAATTCTCTTGAAGTTTTCAATTCAATTTTAAATTAAATTTATAAGCAACCTCAACTTTCTTACAACACTGCGTATGAGTAATAACAACTTTCATTGCAGCCATATAAAATTCTTTCATCTTTTCAGTAAAAATTTAAATTATTGCTTGATTTATATTAAAAAACAGTTTTAAATATTTAAAAACGAATTTCAAAATAAAGAATTATCTTTAAAGTGCCATAATTTCTATGTATAACACAACGAGTATCATGACTAAATTGATTCGGAATTTTATCAGTAAATTTGTTATCTATTTGGTTTTCTGTTTTTTCCCGCACTCACCATCTCATCTACTGGGAAAAGCGTGTTGATATAGAGGATGTTGCGCCACCAGTAATCCGGGCAGGTGATGTGATCCATGGTCGGCGGATCGAAGATCGAGTAGGTGGCCAGGTACTTCATGGTCACCTGGACCACGCCCAGCACGAACAAGTAGGGGGCGGTGAGCCGCATGAACCGATAGGCAACCAGACCAAAGAAGTGAGCCGTTCCGGCGGTGAACTCATTGGCGCCCTTGCTCAACTTGTTCAGCTTGCCCTTGGCATTCGTCCGGAAGTAGATGTACGAGATGAGGAAGCCGCTGATGAAGAAGAATGTGTCCACGCTGAACGGCCCGTTGGTGATGGCCTGGAAGAAGAAGTTCTGCTCCACCTCCTTGCGCATCTCCATGTTGTCGGAGTACTTGAAGACCACAATGCAGGTGTGACCCAGGATAACCCAGGCCATGCTAAATGCCCGCAGCCCATGGATGCACGGAATGGTGTCGGCACCCACATTCCGATCGCAAATGGCATTGAAGTTCGTGATCGCCGAAAACGAGAGCAGCAGTTCCGAGTAGATGCTCAGCTTTTCCGGCTCATGCAGATGACCCTCCAGATGCTCATCCGAGTTGCTGTTGTTGTTGCTGCCACCCCGGTGATGATCGTGCTCATGATCGGCATCGTGGTGTCCGTTTCCACTGTCATTGTCGTTGGGCGGCAAATTCAGCACCAAGGCATCTAATTGCTTCAGGGAACTCGTCGGCGAGTGATCGTGATCGTGGGTGCGGGTCGACTGCTTCAGGGGATCGTCGTGGGCGGTCATCGTATCGCTGTAGTCCGACGATGCACAGCCAATGCCCGAGCTCGTCTCGCTGTTGTTCATCATCTCCTTGTCCTGACGACGCAGTGCCTCCTTCAGCTTGCCCCTCAGGTAAATCTCGTACAGGGTGCCGCAGCAGATCAGAGCCAGCACAATGCTGGACACCACACTATAAAGAAGATCAATTTTAATTAAAAATAAATCATAATTTTTTGTAATCGAGCGTAAACATCTTATAAAAAATACAAACACATAAAATAATTAGGATTAAAAAACAATATGATACAATATTAAAACAATATTTCCCAATATTTAAACAAATATAAAACAGATAAAAAGGGTTGAATCAGATATAGGGAAGCATATAATCATATTACCCGCTAATACTCAAATCAAACAAATGGAGTTTCGCTTTTTATAATAATTCGATTTGGGGGGAAACACAAATATTTCACACAAGCTGACTGACTCAGCGCTAATGGCCAAAACCAACTGGCCAAAAAGCTTC